CATTCGGTGACTCTGATTTTCACCTCCCCTTTTGCCAGCCTGTCCCTACATGAACCTGAAATGACACTGACCAACCCTGGGCCCCAGAGGGACCGAGTTTGCTTCCACAAACCCATTTTGGAACATTTTGCAGTGAAAACCATTGTACAGCTTTGAATCAAAAGCCGTAGAATCATTATTTAACTAAAACACAGAAACGCCCTCATCTCCAATTTTAGCAGCTTCATCTTCCAGCAGCCTGAAACCAGCACAGGAAGGGAATATTCAAGTTTGGCATCATTTAGAGGGAAAAAAAACCCCAAGATGACTTTGCAAAAAAGGAACCAAAAGAAACTTTCGCACAAACAAAAGGCATGGATTTGATCTGTAGTAGTTACTTGGTCTTAGATTCAAAAATAAATAAATAAGAATTTAAAACTGGAAAAACCCAATTACCCTCAGGAGCATAGCTCACCTGGCTGGTTCTTTGTTGCCAGCGAGAGGGCTGGCTTTGGAGCAGCAGGACTGGGTCCCACAGCTGACCCTTTGGCTCTGGACATAATCTTGGACAGGAGGGATCTGGCAGGCCCCTGCGGGCCGGGCTGGCACAGCGGCGTGGGCGGCGCCTGGGGGGCTGCAGCGGGCACCGAGCTCTGCCAGTCCTCCTCCTCCAGGTCATCGATGTCAAAGGCATCCAGCTCCCAGTCAGCATCGCTCGTGCCCAAGCTGCTCCCTGCAGGACGGGCACTGGGAGCCGTGCTCTGGCCCTTCAGGGCTGTGCTGGTCAGGGGCTGGATCCCTGGACTTCTGTCCCAGCTGCTGTCGCAGGACGGGAGGCTGAGCCTGGGGGAAGCTCCCTCCCTGCCACCTGCCCGGGGACAGGGCAGCTCCTCAGCACTCTGCCTTGAAGCACAAGAGCTGTCCAAGGTTTGGTTGGTTTTGGCAGAAGAGTTGCTGGAATGAACAGAAAGCACCGATGGGGGGTTTGTGGATTTGGGGGAGTTTCTGTCAGAACTGAAGCTCCAGCTGGGGCCAGAACCCGGACCTGCACCAGGACACACACGAGAGCCCTGCTCCGTGGGAGACTTCCAGCTTCTAGGAACAGTGGTGTTTATGCCATTTTGGTTCAAACCGGCAGAATTAGCCAGCAGTTTTCTCCTGGGAGAGATAACAAGGGAAGGAAGAACGAAAAAATATATATATTTAGTCACAAGCAATGATTTACCAAGTTCTACAACATTCATTAAACAGTTTGGTCTCACTGCTATTAAACATCTTAACATATGGTGGTTCCATCGTGTTCTGAGTCACCATGTTTGAAAATTATTTCAAACAAATCTAGGGAAGAGAAAATACCACCAGAAGAAACTAATGACCAAATGTGACATCATCTCTACAGACACAATATAAAAGAATTCCTAAAGCAAGGAACACATCCAGGCCAGGTAGAATATTAAAAATAAATCCTTAAGAAGCAAAACCTGAAGTTAAAAGTATGCCTGAACCAAATCATGTTTTTAGATACTTTCTAAAGACTATGTCTGAGTATAGCAATGAGAAATAAAATAAGTTGTTGTACTGAGAACATTTACAGAAGCTCATGGTCCCAGTCCAGGAAGAATCTAATCAAAACCCCAAATCCCAATGCTGTCCATGCACTGTGCCATCAGCTGACACAGCAGACAGAGCAGCAGGTTGTGGCAGCAATAATTCCACTGGAAGATGGCAAGTTCAGGGATTTTAGGAGAAATCCCCATCCCTGCAGTCAGCGAGAGGGCAGACAACACCAGCAGAATGCCCATGGCAGGAGAACTGAGGAGGACACCTGGCAGGTCACATCACAGCACCTGTGGGTGCAGAAGCACCTGGTGCCAGGCTCCTCCTCAGGCTGCCTGTGGAACTGGATCCTCCCTCTGGCAGCACACAGGGGTTTGGGGTATTTTGTTCCCTCCCTCAGTCAGCGTTCCAAGGTTTTCGATCCCCTCCTGCCCCGTTCTGCAGCGTGCTGGGGACACCTGCAGGCAGCTCCCCGCTGCACACGGAGCTGCTGCAGCCTACCTGAGCTCCCTGTGCTGCAGCAGGGCTCGGGCACAGCGCAGGGCCTGCAGCTCCTGCAGGGGGATGGCATCCACCAGCTCGCAGATGGCCTCCATGACTCCGAGCAGCCGCGGGGCCACGGGCACGGCCTCACCTGCCGGGGGAGGGAGCTCAGCACAGTCATGTCCATCAGAACAGCTCTCAAGAGGCTACCACCCTCCCAGAGGACAGGGCATTGCAGTAAATCAGTCTAAATTATTTACTTCCAACATACTTTTAGTCCATGTGCATAAAGAAACTGTTTCTCTGTGAAGAACTCAATGAGTCTACATATTTTTCCCCTTGTTTATTATTATCTGTCTATAATCCAACTATTTATGTCAGCTCTCCAGCTACAGATGTTAATTCTCCATCTGTCAATGTTCTTGGATTACAGAGGATAATAAATAGTTGCAAACTATCCCCAAAATCAGAGATAGGATATTCCAAAGCATTTTGTGTACCTGAATCCCCTGCACTGGGATCACCTCCAGGATGTGTTGTGGGACCTTTCTCCTGCCTGGCCTCGGAGCTGCCAGGTGTGCACCTTCCTCCAGTGGGAGAGTCTCTGAAAACACTGCTAACACCAAAGGAAAAGCCATGAAAATACAGGTATCTGTAAACTGAGGCACTTCCACAGAACAGCGGGATTTAAGATGTATGGAAAAGATAAATTCCTGAAGCCCTGGCAGAACCCAAGAGCTGAGCAGTCCTGAGTTCCAACTCAACTCATCCTGGGTTCCAACACAGAACAGCGGGATTTAAGATGTATGGAAAAGATAAATTCCTGAAGGCCCAGGCAGAACCCAAGAGCTGAGCAGTCACTCATCCTGGGTTCCAACGTGTGGAATTTTCTCCCATCCCACTACAGAAGTTACTCTGCTTTTTTCTGAAGTGAAAGCTGCCTAAATTCACCAGCCATAAAACCAGTATTTGATAAAGCATTAATTGCAGCTGCCAGCCATCAACCTGCCAAGCAGCAGAGAGACACAAGCTCAATCTGTGCCTCTTTAACAAGCAGGAGTTTGTGGCTGGTTTTGGTACTTTTCTATTCATGCACCAGCCAGTTGGTTCCAGCAGTGAGCTCTGATTACCTGGCACTGTGTGCAGAGGGGGAGAAGGGAGGCAGCTCCTCCTCAGGGGAGGGAGGGATGATGTCCAGGTCATCCTCCTCCAGCTCAGCACCTGCCCATGGCCAGGCGGCCTCATCCAGTTCTGGGGAGCTGTTCCCAGCCCTCTGTGGCTCCTGGCCCCCTTCAGCACCAGCAGCTGCAAGAGAAGGGCACTGACATTGCTGGGGAACTCTGCACACACAGCCTGCCACAAACAGGGGGGAAAGAGCAGCCAGACTTCAAAACACTGACACAGATCCTGACTCCCAAAGGATAAAACTTGCTGCTCCCTTCTCTCCCCCATTAAAGCAGACAGACAAATCCCCACAAACCTTCATTTAAGTGGAAAAGTGATACAGCTAAACCTACAGTCACCTGTCCCTGGCAGGAGTGAAACACTGAAGAGGTCTATTTTTCTACAACAGTTTTCTATAAAAACAATTTCTATAAAAATCTGTTTCTATAAAAAGCTCCTATTATATTAAATCCCAGCCTTAAAAGAGTGAAGACTCATCAGTTAGCACAATCCCTGTACTGGAATTGGAAGGTAAATGTACATGTATTGTGTCTTAAAAGATAAATCCTACAAAGAGAGGTCAATATCATTAACTTATTGAAATTAATTTCATGGAGATAGGAAAAGACAACAAAATATTAAGAACAGAAATACAGTTCACAAATCTTTTCACCACTCAGTGTAAGGGCAACATCCCAGAATACTTTTTGATGTTATTCAGTTGCATAAACATGGTAATTTCCCAAATAAAGGCCCAAAGTTTCAAAACACAGCGGGTAAGGAATCTAAAATAAAACAGTTCTGTGGGACAGAGCTGCCAAAGCAATGACAAGCAGGAATGTTGTGATCATAACTGAGGATTGGAGCTGTTTTGTGTTTATGTTTGTGCTAAGAATGGAGGGCGGTCACTTTTTCTGGTTTAGTACTTCAGTTAGGTGTAAGATGACTTTATGTCTGTCCTGTATTAATTTTCTGAGTGCTTTTCTCTTTATAACATTCCTATAAATTATTAACCATTTCAGGAATGCCATAGGTCGTGTAACTGCAGTGCACACGCAGCTGCTACTCCTGCACGGGCAGAACGCTGCCGTGCTTCCAGGCTCAGAATCAGAACGGAATCGGGGCTGCCCGCCAGTGCCGAGCACACAGCTCCCCGTGATTCCCGCGCAGCCAGGCCAGCCCCGGGGCGCACACAGCGCTGTTCCCCCAGCTCTGTACCGCCACATACCGTTACCTGGGAGGGCCCCGGCGCTGCCCGCATCCCGGGCGGGCTGGGCAGCCGAGTCGTCCAGGCAGATCACGGAGCGCTGCGAGCAGGGGCTGCGCTCGGGCTGCGGCGCTGCCGCGCTGCCGCCGGCGGGGCCCGGGGC